GTTGGCTGAGATGAAGAGAGCATTAGCTAAAGCTGGGGTAACATCTCCTGGGAAGGATGAGATGTGTTACATCATGATGGCTCATCTCAGTGACACTGCAATGGGGAAAGGATTGGGCCATTACAATAAGGTGTGGCAGGAAGGGAAATTTCCTGGAAGTTGGAAGCAGGCTGTAGTGGTGCCAATACGGAAACCTGGGAAAGACCCTACTAGTCCTTCGAGCTGTAGGCCGATAGCGTTGACATCTCACGTATGTAAACTTATGGAAAGGATGATAACGCAAAGACTGACTTACTTTCTGGAGAGTAGAGGACTAATGTCACCAGATCAAAATGGGTTCAGGAAAGACTGACTTACTTTCTGGAGAGTAGAGGACTAATGTCACCAGATCAAAATGGGTTCAGGAAAGACTGACTTACTTTCTGGAGAGTAGAGGACTGATGTCACCAGATCAAAGTGGGTTCAGGAAAGGCAGGGGAACGATGGATCCTGTACTGTCCCGTGAGTCAGTCATACAAAAGGTTGGGGAGGAAATATACTTGAAGTATATGGAAGGAATCTATAGAGGGTGGGAGAGTTTAGGTTCCTGGGGGTCTGGTTTGACACTCGAATGACATGGGCGGAACATATTAACAGAGTAGTTGTCAAAGGAAATAAAATATTGAATGTGATGCGTGGCTTGTTAGGAATGGAGTGGGGGGCAGATAGAATGGCGTTGAAAATGATAAATATAGCACTGTTAAAGTAATCAATGGATTATAGAAGTATAGCATATGAATCAGCCGCTCAGATATCTTTAAAAAAGCTAGATGTTATCCAGGCCCAAGCCCTAAGAATATGTTGTGGAGCACTCAGGACCTCCCCAGTGGCAGCGATGCAGGGAGAGTTGGGAGAGATGCAGTTAAAACTAAGAAGACAACAGCTAGCCATGACATATTGGGTAAATCTACAAGGACACAAGGGCACACATCCTACAAAAAAGGTGCTCCTAGAGTGCTGGGAACATGAACAAAATCTGAATACAAGCTTTGGGTGGATAGGCAATTGCATGGCGAGAGAGATGGGGTTGTTTGGGAGGGAGTTTAGCCCCTCTGTGGTTCTTCCTGCTATCCCACCTTGGTTTCTCCCTCGACCAGTGATATATCTAGGGTTGCTTGAGAGGGTAAGAGATGTTGAGGAAGGAGTAGATACAATTGTAAGTGAGCATTTAAGAACACAATGCTTTCTTGGATATAATCACAGATGGATCTAAGGACCCTAAAACAGGGAGGACAGTAGCAGCTTTTAGTGTTCCTGAGTTTAAGGTGGCAGTGACGAAACAAGCAATGGATAATTTATCTGTTTACACAATGGAGTTGTTGGCCATTCTATTGGCTGCAGAGTGGGTGGAGGAGGTGTGGCCAGACAGGGTAGTCATCTGCTCTGACTCCTGTGCAGCACTGATGAGCTTAAATTAATGTGTGTCTCAGAGCAGACAGGATGTATTGTATGAGGTTTTGCTGTGCTTTTATAGGGTGAAACAGATGGGGGTATTTGTTATGTGAGAGTAGAGGGGAATGAGGAAGTGGATATTATTGCCAAACAGGCTCCTAAACATCCTAATGTAGAGATGAAATTGTCAATCAGTAAAGCAGAAGCCAAGGGATTAATAAGAACAGTGGTTAAAAATAAGTGTCAAGAGATGTGGAAGAGGGAGAGTAACGGAAGATCCAGGAAAAGGTGGGGGCAGGGAGGTCCTCAGGCCAAGAGAGAAGGGAGGAAAGTGTAGTCACAAGGCTGAGACTGGGACACACAAAGCTAAATAGTACATTGAAATTGGTGGGGAAACATCTGACTGGGAGGTGTGATCATTGTCAGGAGGAGATGGAGACAGTGGAACATGTTCTATTTCAGTGCCAGAAATATGTGAGAGAAGGGAGCGATTGTTATTAGATTTGAGGAGTAATGGGGTTGAAGAGCCAGGATTAAGTGAACTGCTGGGGAAATCTTCAGGGGATGTAGTATTTAATTATGTATTTTGTTTCCTTAAGGAGACGAGATTATTGGGTAGGATTTAGACCAGGGGTGTCAAACGTCCGGCCCGCGGGCCGGATCAGGCCCGCAAACGGGTTTAATCCGGCCCGCGAGATGATTTTGTAAAGTATAAAAATGAGCTGCAATTTTTCAATAAAATAAACTGCTGTTCCAATTGTGTCCACTGGATGGCCCAATAGCAATTGTGTTAAGCAAGCAAACTGTTTATACCGGGGCAGAGCAAATAGGTCAAGCAAGTGCAGCCAGTCCGGATGAGCTACTTTGTTTTGCCCGCGATATTTATTACGGCTTCTACTTTTAACATTATGTGCTTTGGCACCCTCATTGCCCCAATATGTCTCTGTCAAAAAAGAGAAAAGTGGACGCAGAGTGCAGAGTGTTCCAAGAAAAATTGTCATCCTTCTATTTATTCACGGAATTGAATGGGAAAGCTGTATGTTTGGTGTGTTCACAGCATGTTGCAGTGCTGAAAGAATATAACCTTCGTCGCCACTATGTGAGTCTTCATGCCGACAAATATGACAACTTTCAAGGACAGCGGAGAAGAGAGAAGGTGAATGAACTGTTGGTGGGTCTGAAGAAACAGCAGTCTGTGTTTACTCACAGCCGAGACATCAGTGACGCTGCAGTGAAAGCTAGCTACCTCATTGCTAATGAAATCGCAGTGGCTTCAAAACCATTTAGTGAGGGTGAATTTGTAAAAACATGCATGATGAAGGCAGCAGAGATTGTGTGCCCTGAAAAGCACCAGGCTTTTGCAAATATCAGCCTGACAAGAAACACAGTTGCAGACAGGATTTCCGATCTTTCAGTGGATTTGGACAGCCAGTTGAAGCAAAAAGTAAAGTCATTTATTGCGTTTTCGGTTGCAATTGATGAAAGCACAGACATTACAGATGTTGCACAACTGGCCATTTTCATCCGCGGAGTTGATGACACATTGACCGTCACCGAGGAGTTCGTGGAGTTGGTGCCGATGACAGATACAACGACAGCAGCTGATATTTTCACTGCACTCGTCGGCGCGCTGGACAGGGTCGGAGTGGACTGGTCCCGCGCTGGTCAGCCTGGCTACAGATGGTGCGCCCTCAATTATCGGGAAAAAAGCAGGCGTTGTGACAAAGTTCAGAGAGAAAGTGCAATATGCAAATGGAGGACGTGATTTTTGGACTTTTCACTGTATTTTGCACCAGGAGGCTTTGTGTTGCAAGTCATTAAAGATGGATAACGTCATGAAGGTGGTCATCCAAACTGTTAATTTCATCCGATCCAGAAGCCTGAATCACCGTCAGTTTGACAGCCTTCTCAGAGAGAAAGACCACATCTATGGCCTGCCATACCACACTGAGGTAAGATGGTTAAGCCGAGGTGCTGTGCTGAGGCGTTTCTTTGATTTACGAGAAGAAATTGAACAGTTCATGGAAGAAAAGGGCAAACCAGTGTTAGAATTTCATTCCGCAGAATGGATGCAGGACCTTGCATTTATCGTGGATGTTACAGAGCACCTGAATAACTTGAACAAACAGCTGCAAGGGCGCAACAAAGTTGCCACGCAGTATTATGACAGCATACGTTCTTTCAAGTTGAAGCTGTCATTGTGGGAGACGCAACTCGCCGGTGGTGATGCAGCTCACTTCCCCTGTCTGAAAAATGTGTGCGCGACCCAACATGTGGCAGACATGAAGCGGTTCAAAGATAAAATAACGGGACTGTTAAGGGAGTTTGAGCAACGCTTTCAGATTTTTGGTGAACTGGAGAAAGACTTCAACGTTTTTTGTTCGCCATTCACTGTGAATCCCTCTGATCTGCCCGTCAGCATCCAACTTGAAATAATAGACTTGCAGTGTGACTCGGATTTGAAGGGCAAATTTGCCGCAGCTGGCTTGGACACATTTTATCAGAATCTCTTGCCAGGTTACCCCAACTTGACAGCCCTCGCTGCAAAACTGTTGTGCATGTTTGGAACCACATATCTTTGTGAGCAAGTTCTCTGTAATGAGCATAAATAAAACAAAGCTGCGCTCAAGGCTCACGCACAAGCACTTGAATCACATCCTGAAGTTGGCTGCCACTCAGGATGTGACGCCTGATATTGATGCGCTGGTGAAAGCTAAAAGATGCCAGGTATCAGGAGTCAAATAAACTATGCAACCCCACTTAAAGTGCTGCATGAGACACCCTGATATAGTTCTGTGATATACTTCTGTGAATCACTGAGGCATTGTGTGTTTGTGTGTTGTTTGTCCTCAGAATTTCAAATAATTTGAGGTGTTTTATGATTAATAGTGATGTTGTGCTTTTGGACACACTGTCCTCAGGCTCCAGCTTTATGTTTATATGTTTTTATGTTGATGTGCTATTGTTTTTAATTGATTTTATTTTATTTGTATATTTAACCTATTCTTGACTCTGTGGTTCTTGCACTTGTTTGGGGAACAGGATTTCATTATTTGTATCTACATTTCTGCCTGAGAAATGACACCCTGATATAGTTCTGTGATCTGTGAAACAGTTATGTGAATCACTGAGGCATTGTTTGTTTGTGTGTTCTTTAGAATTTTCAAATAAACTTCAGGTGTTTTATGATTAATAGTGATGTTGTGCTTGTACTATTTTGGACACACTGTCCTCAGGCTCCAGCTTGATGTTTTATGTTGATAGTATTAAAACAAAGAAAGCAATCTGAAGTTGTTGTTTTTAAGTTATATATACCATGATTTTACCGGTCCGGCCCACTTGGGAATAGATTTTCCTCCATGTGGCCCCTGAGCTAAAATGAGTTTGACACCCCTGATTTAGACTTTCCCTGTCTCTGGTGCACACTCCAGTCCAGTTGGTGGCGGTAATGCACCTTAAAGTTGGTTGCCAACCGCCATATAAAATCCACAGAAGAAGAAGAAGATGACTACCAAAGAAGAAGAAGAAGAAGAAGAAGAAATTGACGTCAACGCCAAGGCTGGACGAACATGGCGGCTGTCATGAGATTTGTCAACAGAAACCGTTTTGGTTCTAGAATGGGTCATCAATGTTTATCCTTGAGTTGTCCAGCAGCAGTGGCAAAATCGGTAAGTCCATGTGTTTTTCTTTTTCAATGTATCCTCAATGCAGTGGCTTGCTTTTTTGACTAGCTACATTTGATTGCGAATGAGTGCACTTTAAACAGAAGTGCCTGTTAGCTTACGTTTGATATCTAGCTACTACAGTACCAGTATCTTTGATACTAAGTTAGCTAGCTATTTTTGTTAGAATTGATCCTAAAAGCCGCTTATAAAATGTGTGTGATACTATATTTTGGTATAACGAGCAAAGACATAGCCATAATGCGATATGGTTTGCCTTAATCTGAGCGTGTGTGGTTCTTGTAGTTACGTGCACTGTCTCAACGCTCTGTTGACAGTTTCAGGTTGGTGCATCTGCAGGGAAACCTCTCCCAGAGAGGGTAAAGATAGTGGAGGTGGGACCCAGGGATGGCCTGCAAAATGAGAAGGTAATATTCCACTTTATTAGGATTTGATACTTTTAATCAGTCCACCAGTGAATTACATATTTTTGGTGGTCCATTGCATTGAGCGGGTGGGCGTGTCACTCAAACTCATGAGGAAAAAGTTAGTCCTTCCAGTTATGGGGAACTGGGTCAAAAGCCACCGGTTGCAGATGTTATTGTCATAACTCATGTCTCTCTCCTGTTGGCCCTGTCAGACTGTCGTCCCTTCTGAAGTTAAGATTCACCTGATTGACATGCTCTCAGAGGCGGGTCTTTCTGTCATCGAAGCCACAAGCTTTGTCTCCCCAAAATGGGTTCCACAGGTGAGCTTACTAGAGTGATTTGGGACCATGATTTGGGGAATTTTTATGAAATTGAATGCCATAGAAGGGTCCTTTGGAAGGATTGTTGACATATATTTGACATTCGTATCTTAATTGAGAAATAATTAATTGAAGCCTCCTTTAAGACTCCATAATGTTTCATCTGTATGTGCTACAAAGGAAAAAGGTGTATCATATGAAGCTTTACCACTTGCTCTGTAATATGAGTAGTATTTTGATTTCAATAACAAATTTCTTACATTCATATATGAATATTGAAAAAGATAAACATAATTATAGAAAATATAAAAATGTATATTGTTATATATCGATATATTGTTGAACTAGTTCCAGAGTGGGATCTCGTCTAGTTTTAGAGTTATGGCCCATTTTTATACAGAGAAATTGGCATAGTAGGCAATCACAGCCCTCCTTTTACTTTTATTATTTATTTTGAATTACCCTTATTTTACCAGGTAAATTGACTGAGAACTCATTCTCATTTACAGCAATGACCTGGGGAATAGTTACAGGGGAGAGGAGGGGGGATGAATAAGCCAATTGGAAGCTGGTGGTGATTAGGTGGCCATGGTATGAATGCCAGATTGGGAATTTAGCCATGACACCAGGGTTAACACCCCTACTCTTACGATAAGTGCAATGGGATCTTTCGTGACCACATAGTCAGGACACCCGTTTAATGTCCCATCTGAAAGACTGCACCCTACCCAATCACTGCCCTGGGGCATTGGGATATTTTTTGGGGGACCAGAGGAAAGAGTGCCTCCTACTGGCTCTCCAACACCACCACTTCCAGGAGCTTCTGGTCTAAGCAGGACCAACCCAGTTTAGCTTCAGAGGCAAGCCAGCAGTGGGATGCAGGGTGGTATACTACTGGATTGTATCATTGCACATCCTGCAAATCACCAGCAGAGTGTGACCAATTTTAATCCAGTTTCACATTCACTCTGTTGGTAACGCTTACAAATTGGATCATAACTCAAACTAGCAGAGATCCTACTTTGGAGCTTTGATATGCCCGTACAGTAAATTATGTTCAACAATTTATTGAAAAATTAGACAAATCAAATGTTTGATATTTTCAATATTCATGTTTATGTTTTTCAATATTGATACATTGTAAGAAAATTATTGAAATCAAATACTGCTCATATTACAGAGCAAGCGGTAAAGCTTCATTTGACACCCATTTTTCCTTTATAGCATATACAGATTAAACATTATTAAACTCTTGCTGTTCAGGAGACTCTCAGGTATGTTGTGGTGGACTGTCATTACAATTGCTTCACAGGAATCTGGTAAAATGAAGTTTGAAGTGTGCCTAACCACTGGATCGGTCTAAATGCACTGTCGGCACGCAGTGAAAGCTACTAACCACTTTTCGAGCTACAGTGCCTTCAGAAAGTGTTCATACCCCTTGACACAACATTTTGTTGTGTTACAGCTTGAATTCAAAATTAATTAAATGTATTTTTTCTCTTACACATCTACACACAATACCCCATAATGACAAAGTGAAAACATGTTTTCAAATTTATTGAAAATGAAATATCAAATTTACGTTGTGAAGGAAAGTTTTATGTTTGTGCTTTTCTAATAACCAATTTGACAGGGTTCATGCAAGTGACTGATTGATCGTGCCTGGGAGGAATCAGTATAAACAATTTGGCAGTACGCCCAGAACATTGTTTTGAGAACGGAAAGGGATATCTCAGTTTCAAGGTCTCAGCTTGAAGAAGAAGCCTCATGAGGTATTGGTCGGTCACATGCATGAACCAAAAGTTAATGATGAATTAATAATGAATAATGTAAATCATGCATATATAACTTGTCTGTGTAAGCAGTATTTAAGATAACTAACGGTACTGCCCCGAGGGAGCTCCTGACAGACGTGTACTACTTGGTGCGTTGAATTTGTTGGAACCTCTCCAGCTTGCTGATAATAAAGAATGATTCATTTAATATTGAATTCAGGTGTTCCTGGTGTTAATTTCCACGACAATGTATTCACACCCCTTTTACTATGACACTCCAAATTGAGTTCAGGTGCATCCAATTTCCTTTGATCGTCCTTGAGAGGTCACTACAACTTGGAGTCCACCTGTGGCCATTTCAATTGTTAGGACATGATTTAGAAAAACACCTGTCTATATAAGATCCCGCTGTTGACAGTGCATGTCAGAGCAGAAACTATACCATGAAGTCTGTAGATCTCCAAGATATAATTTTGATGAGGCATATATCTGGGGAAGTTTATAGTGTTGAAGGTTTCCAAGAGCACAGTGGTCTCCATCATTAGGAAATTGAAAAAATATAGAACTACTCCGACTGCCTAGAGCTTGCCATCCGAACAAACTGAGCAACCGGGCAAGAAGGACCTTGGTCAGGGAGGTGACCAAGAACCGAATGACCACTCTGACAAAACTACAGAGTTCTTTGGCTGAGATGGGAGAACCTGCCAGAAGGACAAGTCTCTACAGCACTTCAACAATCTGGGCTTTATGGGAGAGTGGCCAGACGGAAGCCACTCCTGAGATAAAAGCACATGACAGCATGCCTGGAGTTTGCAAAAAGGCATGTGAAAGACTGTGAGAATAATGTGAAATATTCTGTGGTCTGATGAGACAAAAGTTTTACTCTTTGGCCTGAATGCAAAGCGCTATGTCTGGAGAAAACCAGGCACAGCTCATCACCTGTCTAACACCATCCCTGCCATGAAGCATGGTGGTGGCAGCATCATGCTATGGGAATGCTTTTCAGTGGCAGGGACTGGGAGGCTTGCAAGGATAGACGGAACAATGAATGGAGCCAAATACAGGCAAATCCTTGATGAGAACCTGCTTTAGAGTGCAAATGACGTTAGAATGGGGTGAAGATTTACGTTTCAACAGGACAATGACCCCAAGCATACAGCCAAACCAATGCTGGAATGGCTTCAGAAGACCAATGTGAGTCCTTGAGTGGCCCAGCCAAAGCCCAGACTTGAATCCCATGGAAAGACTTGAAGATTGTTGTTCACCGGTGCTTCCCATCTAACTTAACAGAGCTTGAGAAAATCTGCAAGGAAGAATGGGAGAAAATCCCTAAATCCAGATGTGCAAAGCTAATACAGACATAGCCAAAATGACTCAAATCTGTAATCGCCGCCAAAGGTGCTTCTACAATGTATTGACTCGGGTGTGAATACTTATGTAAATTAGATATTTCATTTTCAGTAAATTTGCAAACATTTTGAAAAACATGTTTTCACTTTGTCATTATGGAGTATTGTGTGTAGAAATCGATTTGATCAATTTTGAATTCAGGCTGTAACACAACAAAATGTGGAATAAGTCAAGGGGTATGAATACATTCTGAAGGCACTGTAACTAGTGCACACCGATCATATCCTGGTGTCGACAGCAGATAAGTTAGCAATATTATGCATATAACTTAGCTAGCTAACATGAGCCAAGCTCACGTTTAAATTGCATGAAAGCCAGTGAGGGCCATGGCAAAAACCTGAGATTCTTCTCTAAAAAATGATTGTGTAAATGGTTAATTAATTGAACAGTGCACAGCCTGTTGATGGAGTATTTTTCTAATACTAAATTATACTTTTGTTACATTGTTCGCTAACTCAGCTGGTTAGCTAGCTCTGTCTCATTGACCACCATATGTTGCTAACGCTAGCTAGCCACTTAATATAACTTGTTTTCTCAAAATGTATGTTTAGCCAAGTTAGCAATGTTATGAATACAACTCCCATCTGCTGTTAGTTCCAAAAGTGGTTATAGCTTTGATTACATGCTTACAGTGAATTCAGAGCCATTCAGTGGTTCGCTATACTACAAACATAATGTTACCAGGTTCCCGTGAAGCAATTGTAATGACAGTCCACTACAACATACCCTAAGAGTTTCCTGATTAGCAAGGGGTAGTCTGATTAGCAAGTGGCCTGAGGGAACACACTAAATGTATTGGGTAAAGTGTTATGAAATGTAATGTCATGTAATATTTAACATTGTAAATAACTGCCTTAATGTTGCTGGACCCCAGGAAGAGCTAATGGGGATCCTTAATAAATACAAAATAGTCTGTTTTAATTTCATTGTGTATTAGAAACACAGTTTGAGATCATTGTGAGGGGATTTTGCAAGTGGATGAATTGGGCTTCCCGCGAAAATGTTGTCCAAAATTGCAACAATAACCAAGGGTGGCAGGGGCTTAACGAAGGCTCAATTGCATAGTTTGTGATGTGTCCTCAGAGACGGAAGAGGAAGCGAGACATCACACTCCCTCATTTCTTCGAGTTCATATACAGTCAGTGAACTAAGCAGACCAGTCGCAGCTGCTAATGCATCGGTGTCTATGGGAGAGCTACCCCATTAAGCAGACCGGAACCTTACCATTTTTAAAAATGGTAAACGGCTTGAATGGGACATCTTCATTTATCCATCATCTTTGGTGTCTTTTCCCCCCTGATGGGCAGATGGCAGACCAGGTGGAGGTAATGATGGGGATCCACAGAAGGCCAGGTGTGTCCTACCCTGTTCTGACCCCCAACCTCAAGGGATTCCTGGCAGCTGTAAGTTCCTACCTGGGCTCCATGCCACTCTGCTTATGTCACCTCAATATCATATCTATACACAAATAACTTAAAAACCAAGAAGTTGGAGTAACTCATGTTTTGTGAATTCCATCAAGCCTCATCATACACTGTTGTAGAAGCAGTGTCCTATTTTTATACTGTAGGTATCGAGCAAGTATTTTGCTGTTTATTTTCCCAGGTGAAGGCAGGAGCAGCAGAGGTGGCCATATTTGGTGCCGCCTCGGAGCTGTTCAGTAAGAAGAACATAAACTGCTCTGTGGATGAGAGCCTGCAGCGCTTTGAGGAGGTTACCAAAGCAGCCAAAGAGGCCGGCGTGCCAGTCAGAGGGTAAGACGTACTGACTGACGGATGGACAAAGAAGCTGAGGTAGAATATGAGGAGCAATGATTGTTGATGGAGACAATCTGTGAAATGCTGTAGGGTTGTTCACATTTCTCTTAAGACGTCAGGTTGTTTCACTCCAGGGTATGTCTCACCTCCTTGCTCTGTTCCCTCAGGTATGTGTCATGTGTGCTGGGATGCCCATATGAGGGCAAGGTGTCACCAGACAAAGTGGCTCAGGTGAGTTCCTCTGACTCAGACCATGCCCAGTATTCTTTCACTGAGAACTGTCTTATCTTCCCTTATAAATGTCATTATACTGCAAATAGATTTTATTGAACATTGTCATAGAGCTATAAACCTGCTTGAGAATTTCACTTGTGACTCTTTAATGCAGGTAGCCAAGCGTCTGTACTCCATGGGTTGCTATGAGATATCTCTGGGCGACACCATAGGCGTGGGCACACCGGGTGGCATGACTGAGATGCTGGAGGCGGTGAGCAGGGAGGTGCCCGTCAACGCTCTGGCAGTCCACTGCCATGACACCTACGGTCAGGCCCTGGCCAACATCCTCATCGCCCTGCAGGTACTGTTTAGACCCAGTTGGCATTAGATAGAACATCGTAGCCCGCTCGCCTCGGGGGAAAACAACCCGTTGTTACCCCATTGGCTCACAGCAAAAACGTGACATTTTTCAAACGCAATTTTCTTGTTGTCTGCTTGTTTTCGTCAATTACAAAACTACATTTAAGAAAGGTACAACATGTCTATGAAGATTACATTTCAACATTGCCTGCTTTAGAGTGTTCTCACTTCTTCGAAAAATGTGACGGCGCCAGTAGCCACGCGAGCGAGTGCTAGCTTGCTACCGACAAGAACATTAAGATAGCCAAGACCAACAACACAAACAAACAGACTATACAGCTACAAGAGTGAGTGGAGTTATAAAGGACTATACTAAACAAGTTAAATGACTTAACTGTGATTAAAAGTTTTCTACACACATAGCTACGCGTAGCCTACTTGGACACCGGGTCCCCACATTTCCCACTCTCCCACCCCGAATAGCCTGAAGCCACAGGGCTCTTCTCGCAGGCTCTATTTCCCTACGTGGGAGCACTGCAAACCGTAGGTTGGGATACCTGGTTACATGTACTGTACATTAAACAACATACAACAAAAAATGGGGGTATGTTTTCCCCAATTTGCAGGCGTTGTCGAGAGGAATTCCTTCTTATGACGTGAATATCGACTCGGAGCATAGACCTGAAGCTGAGTGCAATATAGAGGACTCCTCTGATTGCTGTATGAATAGTAGTGGAATTCTACTGGCCTGCATTTGATGAAGATGCTGTTTGATTTTGCAGATGGGCATCAGTGTTGTGGACTCGTCAGTGGCCGGCCTGGGCGGGTGTCCATATGCACAGGGGGCCTCTGGGAATGTGGCCACAGAAGATGTGGTGTACATGCTGCATGGACTTGGCATTCAGACGGTGACCGCTTACCTCTCTTTTTACCAGTCTCCCACTTTCACTTCCTCCCTCAGTTCAATGGAATCTGGCAAACTGTTACGAGATAGTGTCCTACTTCCTCTGTATTGAAAGCATCATTGTCATCAGTGTTTACTAGAAACACAGTGTTTGATCTGTAGGAGTCCCAGTTATCTTTTTAAACTGGTCAGTGCACATGTGAGAGTTCCCTGTTTGTGTGTGACTGTCCTCCCTCTCCCTCTGTCTCAGGGAGTGGACCTGCCAAAGCTGATGGATGCTGGAGCTTTTATCTGTCGTTCCCTGAACAGAAAGACCAGCTCTAAAGTGGCCCAGGCCACCTGCAAACTCTGAACCTGACTCCACAAAGGCCTAGAAGAGGGATGTCATGAGTGATGCCTACAGATAAGGCTAAAAGGCATTACTAAGGCAACACACACAACTGTGCCACCAAGGTGTAATATACTTTGATTAAGCTGTAGATAAAAACTGTTGTAAGAACTGTGTGTGTGTTCCGTTATTTGATATAAGTCAAGTACCTCTCTTATAAATGAAGAAATCGAAATCGTTGGAAAGCCTTGCTCAAGTGGTGCCTTATCATTCTGATCATGTCCTCCATAAACCTGGTGCCTTGTCCGCTACCTTTGTGTGTTACATGATTATTGCAAATACACTAGTCATGAATGGAAATGTTATTCAAAATAAAGTATGCTGTTTAATATAATTTAAATCAACAAAGTTAAATGAAGGGATTGCCTGACTTGTACTTCCATTGGTTGGTGTACAAACAGCCTTGTCCTTATTTGTCAATCCTTATGTTTAGCCAGTGTATTGCAGTAGGTATCCTAAACAGATCTTGATGTTTGCAGAGTGGAATAGAAAATACATCTATTGATAAGACTCAACAAATTGACCATCTTGTTTTCTATTATGGGACAGGGATTAGTCATTCTGTTGTCATGTTTCTTTCCATTTAACAAAACTTCCAACTATCCTTACTTGAAAACCACTTGGGATTTGCAAACCTACCATATTAGGACAATAAAGTCTGCCATTCCTGCAGTTTGAGTGGAATTTTAATGTTTTTCTTTTTCTGTTTAATTCTTGGTTTTGGTGTGTCTCATTTTGAATGTAAATATTTATTGTAAAAGGTTGCACTTCTGAATTGAAGCCATTAGAAAAGTTTGTCTAAAATCTAAGGAAGCACATTTTTTTTGTTGCTGTATTTTCAAAAAAGTAATACTAACCCTTTAATGAATGTGTTATGCATATTTAATCAAACAGGTTATATAACCTAGCGCATTTACACAGCCAATGTCTGTGACACAGCTACATAAGTGTAGCCAAAATGTCTACCAGCACAATACTACCCATCCCACTAGGACAAAGAAATGAATCACCTAGGGATCTGGTGATTATATAACAGTAGACTAGTTGAGGAATCGACATTCATTCATAGGCACTACAAAACCAATCAAAGGTGGTACCATTGGATTTGTGTATGTCCCTAATGGTTGAGTGATATAGTCAGAGGTTGTGATTTCGCAATTCTACTGGAAAACAAGTGATACAGAACAAACAGGCAATGTTTGTCTTCCACTCCTTGACCTAATGCAGAGAGAAACCTGAATGACAAGCTGGACCTGCTATGCAGAGATTCCTTTAGCTTGCTAACACAGTCCCAGAGAATTTCAACAAATGTTTCTGTGCCACAATTAGGAAATAGGCAGAGAGTAAAACAATAATCGTCTAGATCTGACTCGGTCATTTGTCATTTGAATGTTTGTTGTTCCATTTTTGTCATTGTTATCATTGATTGGGAGAATGCAGAACAGGAAACGGTAAAGTAGATGTTGTCTTTAGCTGGCAGGGATGGGCCAATGAGTTGATGACTTGAACGTAAACGTCAGAGAAATTCCAATTGAAAATTAACCCTAAAACAATATTTTGTGTTAGAAACATCCTTTCACTGACTGTACATGTGTAGGCCTACAGCAATACGACATCCTGTATTACATGGTTATAACAGGATGTCTTTGCGCTGGACTGCTGGCTGTGGTCCTGTATGTCACATGTGTCTGTTTTAATGTCCAGACTAGAGATGTTCTGATCTAGTCAGTCAGGGTCACCTGGGGCTAAGTCCCAGGAATGAGGCCAAAAGTCTAATAATACAGAATACTGAGTTACAAGTACTTGTCTAGAATCTAGATAAAATAAGTCAACAGAAATGACATAACTACTGTAACATGAATGAGACCAAAGTAAATTAGATGTAAACATTTTATTTATCAAAATAATGTAGAAAATGGAAGTTTGAAGCGTATTGTGAAGGTTCTGCTCCTGACAGTGTGAGACTATCAGGTATCCACACCACTGTTCCATGAGGAACACTAAGGCTGAGATTTTATCCAACCCTGTTCTTCTTTGCTTTCGTGTGCTCCAGCTTTCCAAGATGCCAGGGTTTACTTGCATATGTGGACTTGATCAATGAAACAGCGGCATTCCTTGTCCCTCATTTAAATCAACATAGACCTTGGATGAGGAAAGTTTGTTTACAAGCATGTAAAAACACAGGCAATCTGTTGTAGCTTTGCAACATAAACCTGAGTGGAACCATGCTAATGTAGTCTTGCAATAGAGTAAGTAAAAAATAAAAATAAAAAGCCATAATAATGATAGAGGAGCTTCTATTAGAATAAATGCTGTAAATAAAACAAAATAAATTATTAATTATGTTGGTGCGCCAAGTAGTGGTAAGCCATTGTCCATTTTAGACTAATCTTGCATCAACACTGTAAAGTCCAAAGCAAAGAGATTTGTTATCATTCTGTTGTCCTCATATTGAAGTCATAAATCAGAGTAAACAAATTTATTTGAGGCTAGTGACAACAAAGCGCAGTAATTAGTAATTTAGTAGTCAGTTTCTAGAGAGTGTTGTGGGTGAATACCTCAGCTAGTTGTGTTTTGAATACCTGCTTGTCACTCTGACAGAATAGTTCCCTATGAGCATTTCACTCCTCGCCCTCCCACATCTTAAGCCCTTCGCATGCTTCCCAGTCACAACAGTTTGCGCATGTATTATGATGACATTTTGTGACATTTTTTTTCCGCTTTGGTGTTCGGCAGATAATGTTTTGGGCTGTTCGCTCACACACAATTTTTTCTTGAGGCAAGTCGGCGATTGGTCAACAGTAGGGGTGGGAACTATGGACGGGATTCTTCAATTAAGTATTTGCTGTCATTCAACGAGAGAGACGAGAGAACACAGTAGCAGCTAGGCCCTACTGTCTGCAGTGCACTAGTAGTTTTCATGCACATTTTTTCACTTGAGAAGCACTGCACCAAAAATCTTAGCTAGATATAAAATTGCGTGACAGACATCCTCAGCAAAAATTTAAAAATGTATTACAGATTTCTTGATTTATCTTAGATTAATTCTGACTATTTTGAGGATGTGTTACTGGCTATGTTGTGGCTACGGTGGCTCAACAGGGACAAACAACAGTAATGTTGCCACTTTTTTATTGGTTTTCAAGCGAAGGTCTTTAGGGAGTATGCAAACACAGGCGCTCGCTTCGCCTAGCCGAGTTCTGCTATGAACAAACCGAATCTAGTATGCGGGCGAAAACAAAGTGTGCGACGAACTGGAAAAGCATTGTCACATGTTACAGGAGACAATTATAGATGTAAAAAAAATATTCAGTCTGGCAGTGGGAGTTGAATTGTATAAAATGGGGTGTGGCTCACGACAGGGTTGTCTAGCCCCAGGGTCATGGAATATCAGTACAAAGCGTTGCTCCATGGCAGTATAGGGCAGTAAGTGGCGCAGTGGTCTAAGGCACTGCATCGCAGTGCTAGCTGTGCCACTAGAGATCCTGGTTCGAATCCAGGCTCTGTCGTACCCTCCCCTACCCATGGTCGTCCAGGGTAGGGGAGGGAATGGCCGGCAGGGATGTAGCTCAGTTGGTAGAGCAGGTTTGCAACGCCAGGGTTGTGGGTTCGATTCCCACGGGGGGCCAGTATGAAAAATTAAATAAAAATAATGTATGCACTCACTACCTATAAGTCGCTCTGGATAAGAGCGTCTGCTAAATGACTAAAATGTAATAGGGCAGTAAAAACGTGTCTCTCATACAGTCTTAAAGGAAGACAAGCATGAGCAGGCTTGATCAATAAGGTGAGTCCTGGCTTCATAGGCATACATGTTGTGGTTGAATCTTGGGATAGTTCGGGCATCCTATGCTGCAGAGGACAGGTTAGGAGCAGACGCACGCATGTGAGCTGGTAATGGGGCATGAAGGTGGCCTGGAAACTGGGACTTTAAGGGTTGTTTCTCCAGCTGAGAAAAGTGCAGAGTGCAGTCGCTGCCGGAATTCTCCTTGCTGTACCGTTCATGCAGGGCCATGGTGCGCTTTTTTCTCTTCCTATTTTTGGCTATGTGAGCGACGCGCTTGGAGACAAGGTAGATGATCTCACAGATGTTGAGCACGATGCAGAGGGCCGAGGCGCCCACCATGAAGTAGGTGAAAACTTTCTTCTCTGTGGGGTGGCCGATGTAGCAGTCCACCTGATTGGGGCAGGGGCTGACCTCACACTTGACCAGCCGGGGCAGGTAGAAGCTGTCATAGATTTTGTGGAGGATGTAGAGGAAGGAGATCTCGATGCCCGTCTTGACGAAGAGGCTGAGCATGTAGGTCCACCAGAGGCCGCCGAGCCTTTTCCCTGTGTTCTCGTACAGCTTGTCCTTGTTCCCGTGCTTGGCGTACTTCCGCTCGCGTTCATTGCGATACGCCACATGCATCATCACCATGAAGGAGGGGCAAGTGACAAAGATGAGCTGCAGGGCCCACAGGCGGATGTGGGAGATGGGGAAGTAGTGGTCGTAGCAGACGTTGGCACAGCCGGGCTGCTTGGTGTTGCAGTCAAAGTCCTTCTGCTCATCGCCCCACACACGCTCCGCCGCCACCACGTACACCATCACCCTGAACACAAACACCACAGAGAGCCAGATACGACCAAATGCCGTGGAGTACTTATTCACCCCACTCAGGAGGGCTTGGAAGGTCTTCCAATCCATGGTTGGGGCTGGATGTTGACAGTCTCTTTTTCAGAACTTGCCTTCTTTTGTTAAATGACTATGGATCACTGGAGCAACCTGAGTAGATAAAGGAGAAGATGGGTGAGGGAAGGCATCAATGTAACCTGGATCATGGTGTGAATTAATTGCACAATGCCCTTTCTTGGAAGTGTTCAAAATTGTATGATGCAATCCACACAAACAAGAGGAGCTTTTCAGCTTGTTGGGTGTAGGCCTACGTTTATGTGTAGGCCTCGATCTACTGCATTTTATAGCA